GTAAACAATAAATCGTGTCAATTGTTAAAAAAAAAATTTTTTGAGTAGCTGAGAATTATCCATAACAAGGATTTGATAATCTGAGTCAGTAACACTGGAGCAAAGAAAACTAATATTTTAATTTGAATTATCTAAATTGAACATCAATTTTGTAACTTTAGTTACTGTTGTATAATCTCAATGTTGGTAAACAAGCATGCTATAATTTGTTTTTACTATAAACATCTTTATACTATAAAATAAATAAATAATAACTTCTGATGGAAATATTTCATTCCCTAATTGTCTTTAAGGACATATTGTTTTTTATTATGTCTATTTTATTTTCCTCTTCTTGGTCACTGAGTCAGGGTGCCAGTCCAACTCAGGAGTTTTTGGAGGACAGGTTTGAATCTGAATTAGGAGGCCAAACCCCATCTCCAGAGCCAGCTTCTCAGTGAGTTGAACAGCACAGGATAATATATATAATTTACCAATATACATGTTTTAATATACAAGAGGTATCTGCTTTTCTCTGAAATTGAATCTACTTGTTTGCATTGGTTGCTGTCTTTCTTGTAACCTATATAGATATTTTTAGATGAGTCTTATATTTGTTGGGTTCTGTATTGAGAACAGGAAGTGACAAAAGTCAGAACACTTGATTTTGAAGGGTCACCCTCTGATATCTCTAAATTTTATAGGATCAGGAGTACATGGCAGTTAGCTATCAATTGAGGAGAATCAAGTCAACAAAAAGATCTGCCACTGTCTAACTTGAATTTCTCCCTGGCTATTTCTGGGGTTACCAGATGCTTTAAAGCTTATATCTATAACCAGTTAACCTGTCTGTAGAGGGACTCAGACAATATGAAAATTTGAAGTATTTTTTTCTCTATTGATTTTTTAATAAAGGCTATTTTTATTTTTTATTTTAATTTATTAAATTCAGGATCATTTTAGGCAAAATTTTGACAGATTTCCAAATTAGATAATAATCTCCTCTAGTAAGGCTAGCTTTAGTTAATTTATGCCAATCGAAGGAAGAAGCTGAAGCCTTGCCATATTTCCCATCTTAACAGGCTATCAGGGAGAGCCTTAATGCCATCTCCACAAAGCATCCCTATCAGGTGCAGGTTTATTTCAACCAATAGTAATGAAAGGGCTTTGAAAGGGCAGCATAGGCTTCTCTTTACATTCCTGAAAAGGTCCTGAAAAATGCTCAATAGCTGTCTGTTTTCTAAAAGCTGTACAGGAATACGTTCCCAGATCCATATCCTCCTTTAACTGTTTGAACAATAATCCTATCCCAACTCTCTGGATCAATTCTGCCTTCTTCAGGAAACCAGGGGGTATATTGAATGATATTACAAAGGCATGATAATATTTTCTTTCGATTCTAACTCCTCCCATTTTTAACACTGAAGGAGGTCAGCATATACCCAAGAATATTTTTAGAATTTGCCATGTTCCAGAGCCTCATGAACCAGAGGTCCTCCAGCTGTGCCTTCCGAGGCCCCACTCAGACTGAACACCTCCCTCCCAAAGGCAAGATCTACCGCACTATACTAGGCAACCACATAGCCAGCAAAGATTCAAGGGGGACTGCATTCATTGATGGGAATTAAAGCATGTATGCCAGGGACAGGAAGACTAGAATTTTGTACCACCTGCAGCCAAGGGGGACAAGTCTACTACTGTTTGTATCAAAATTAAATGACGACTAAATTTCTTCTCTTTCTGTCTAGAAGCTTTTAGGAGGGAACACAATGTGATTCTAACCACCTCAACATCTATCAAAGTCCCTGAAAAACAAATCCTGAGTCCAGCTGTGACATGAAGAAAAAGAAAATAACCCAATGGATGAATGCTCTTGGAAGCCCCCATCAAGAGACTCTAATGAACTTTAATCTGGACATTTATTTCTCCTGGTTCCCTGCCTAAAATGTGTGCCTAACTCTTCTTGTCTTACCTCTCCTTCATATCTCCTCCCAGGCACCAGCCAAGGACTAACAGTTATAGCTGTGGGGGTCTCTTTTAGATAGACCCACTGAAGGAGTACCCCTGATGCCACACTCTTCGCCCATATTCAGCACAAAAGAAACCAGAACAACTTAACGTCCACATTCCCTATTGGCAACTAGGGTTACCTCTTCAAAGAAAGGAGTTAGGATAAAGACCTCAAAGAAATAATGACCAGTTTCTTTCAAGATGAGGACTGGGCTGACCAGCTCATCTTCCAATTCCCTCCCTACACTATGCTTAATTAACTGTTGTTTCCAAAATTTCTTACAGAATCTCCTGACTCAGCAGCCTGTATGACTGTCCAAGCCTCTACCTAAGACCAAATTAAGACTATGCTCCTGCTCCATGCCATCTGAAAACTTCTCAGAAACCAAAAGTTCCCTGAGACAATCAGCTTGCTGGCCCTCTGCAGAGAAACTGTATCACCTTCACTGACCTAATCCTCTCTTCAGTCTGCTGAAGGAGCTTCAAAGTAACCTCTGATTGATGCCTGGACCAGTCACCAATTAGGATTCCCATACTAGCACAAAGAACTGTGACTTCAAGGAAACTTTTACATCCTATATCCCGGACTTGATCCAGTTTTTCCTCACTGTGCCTGTATCTTCTTCTTGCCCCCCAAAGCAATGTGCCCCTCTTTCCATTCTGCCCCCTGCCCTCTTTTTTTAATATGCACCCAGGGTCTGGAATGATAGAATACTGAATTTCAGGAGAGCCATAAGCTTCAGTAGAGGAGGCCATAAAGACATAAATTCCTTAGAGTAGCTAACTGGCCCTAAATCAGCAGTCTGGCCTTGCTCAGGCCTTATTAACTGGTCACCCCAGGACTGAAAGAGGCAGTTAAAGAGCGTACGTGTCTCCTTTGGGGCTATAAATAACTCACCCACCTGACTGAGCAAATAATCTTCAGAAAAGAGACCCTCAAGGACAGTAGACCCTGGCCCAGAGTTAACTCTTGCAGCTGTGCAACAGAGTTCTTACATAATACCAGACTTCTCTCTCTTCAGATCACAGATAATCGTTACTCAAGGAAAAGCTATCAGGCCTTTGCTGGGTTTCCTGAATCCGGGGAGCACATTCCTTGCCTGTTTGAGATCCTGCTCTGACTCTTATTTCTAAATTTTATACTCCTTCCTTTTTCTGCCCTCCTAAATCTAACAATGAACATGTCTTACACCCCTAGGAGTAAATTCATTTCTTTCTTGGGAAGCATTGTCCTGGAATCTGTCAAGTTACAATGCTTTGTTTATCCTGGACCGTCTAAAGGTACAGGGAATACAAAACCAGCTCTTACCTTTCCAGTATGTTTATACTTGATGTCTTCTGCCCAAAGCCTTTTACCTCACACCAACTCCAATGAATTCATTCTCATTGTAAGAAGGATTCATGTAATGGTTAAGCTTTTGTTTGTTTGTTTGTTTTTGTTTTTGAGACAGAGTCTCCCTGTAGACCCAGCTAACCTGAACTCACAGAGGTCTGCCTGCCTCTGCCTCCCAAGTACAAAGGCATGCACAACCACACCCAGTTAGGGAGCTTGTGTTTTAATGCCAGCTGGGGAAAAGAAACTAAAAACAGTAACTCTGGGCAGCACTGGGGTTGCCTAGTCCAGCTCAGTTGGGTCAAAGATGCTGGCTTCTTGTCCTGGAGACTGATGTGTGAGCATGGCTAGCGTCTTGGGACTGAGGCCTCGTGGAGAAAAGAGGGGAAGCAGGTGGTTCAGAAGTCTATGGGGCTGTGCGCCAGGTAGTCTTTGTGGCCAATGCTGATGACCTGCTTGGTCTGCATAGCCTCCAATTTGGGGCAGTCAGTGATCCAATGGCCCAGGCCCCCACATAAGGCACAGCCACACTCTCCTCGGATGCCCAACATGGACTCATTCCCACACTTCAGGGCTTGCAGCACAGGGGGAACCTTCTGCTTGGCCTCTAACAGTAAAGCCTTGAGGTCCATGAGGACTGACTCATCACAGAACTTGATGAAGGTGGTGGCGATCCCAGTGTTTCCTGAGCGCCCAGTGCAGCCTATTCGGTGTACATAGTTCTCGATATCCTCAGGCATGTCATAATTGATGACATGTTGGATAGTAGGGAAGTCCAGGCCCTTGGAGGCCACATCTGTGGCCACTAATATATCCTTCTTTTCCTTATGGAATGCCTCAGTGGCCTTGGTTCGTTCATCCTGGTCTCTGCCCCCATGAATAGCCACAGCTTCAACCCCCTTGAGCAGCAGGTATCCGTGGATGGCATCCACATCTGCTTTCTTCTCTGCAAAGATGAGCACCAGTATGGGTATCTTCTGCAGACACTCAAGCAGGATGCCATCTTGGTTTCCTCCTTCACATATTCCACTTCCGGGATGACATCCAGGCTAGCAGCTCCAGCTCACCCTACATTAATGATGACAGGCTTTACAAGGGCACTCAGCAAAATTCTGAATCTTTGTTGGCATGGTGGCACTGAAGAGTAGTGTCTGCCTCTGGCCCTGGAAGTAGGAGAAGATGGTGCAAATGTCACCCTCAAAGCCTATGTCGATCATGTGGTCAGCCTCATCCAGAGCCAAGTAGCAGCAGGTGTCTAGGCTATTTTCTTCTGAAGCAAATCGATAAGGCGCCCAGGGGTGGCTACCATCATGTGCACACCATGTTTGATGGTCTCCATCTGCTCTTTGACAGACTTGCTCCCGATGCAGAGAGCATAGCACAGATGCGGGAAGCTGCTGTCTTGCAACAAATGGCAATAATACTCCAGGATGTCATGGGTCTGCAGGCCAGCTCTCGAGAGCGGCAGATGATGAGTCCATAAGGCCCTTCATGCTTGGAGAACGGCAGGCATTTCTCTTGTTCCAGGCAGAACATGATGAGACGCAGGGCAAATACCAGTGTCTTGCCTGATCCCGTAAAGGCAATACCTATCATGTCCCGACCAGACAGAACGGTGGGGATGCCCTGGATCTGGATGGGTGTTGGGTGGTAGATTCCTTTCTTCTTCAGGCCCCGAAGAATGGCTGCAGGAAACTTCATTTCCTGGAAGCTCTTGATGGGTGGTGGAATACCGTCTCCCTCTACCAGGATGTGGTACTTCTTTTGAACGTGCTCATGCCTCCCCTCAGACATGCTCAGGAAGTAGCATGGAGGAGTCTAGCTGGTTTTGATTGGATCAGAATATGTGATGCCCTTGGCCATTTCCCTCACAGACATCAAGGCTCTCCCCTCAGCCACACTCTCCAGAATCTTCTCCTCTTCCCTTAATTGCTTCTCCTTGGCAGACTCCTTTTGTCCTTCAGCCTTCTCTTTGAGGTGCTGGTGCTGATCCAGGAGACTGACCTTGGACTGAGGGCCCATCAGGATGTCGTCATTTCCGGGTTCCTGTTGGCCATTTTCTGCTCCAGCTCGTTTGCCTGTTCTCTCCAACAGTTGCTGGAGCCGAAGTTATCGACGCAGCCGCAATGGCACATAGGGAACATAGTCCTGGTCCTCCTCATCCTCTGAGTGGTTCCCTGCAGCAGTCACCTCGGAAGTTCCAGCCTTCTTCCACCGGGGTTCCCAGTTCTCCATCCTTTCCCATTTGGTTTCTCTGGTGGCACTGGCTTCCATGCCTTTTAGCCCCAACTTTGTGTGGTGTTCATTGGTCTCTTCAGTGCTGAGTGAGTTGGCACCTGAGCTAGGTTTGCAGCTGGCTGGAGCCTCAAAGTTGTGGTTTTGATTCTTCTTCCTCTGTAGCACTGGGAGCTCCATCCAGCTTTGTCGGGGCTGGGCTCCATGCTCCTGGCACTACTTCTGTGGCTTGCTGCTGAGGCCACTTGAATCCTTGTTTTTTCTGGACTCTTGATGCCCCATGACTGTTCAGTGTCGGTGCCCTCTGTACTGGTCACCACCTCACCAGGGTGCAGCTTTGAAGACTCCATGGTGGTAATCTTTCTGGGGCCAGGAGCAACTGAATACAGGATAAAATGGGAAAATTTCTGGGTCGAAAGGCAGTGGCGGTCCTATTGCCAGAAGCCTGGAGCCCCTATCTCCACTCCTTCACCTGAGAGCCTTCCCACAAGACAAGTAAGATGGAGACAACTCAAACTCCTAGAGAACTAACCTGGGCTGCCTTCTTTTTATGCAGTCCTGGAGCCCTGCTCTTGGCATGGCACCACCCACTTCTAGGGTGTGTCCTCCCACTTCAATCCAATCCCAAAACAACCCCCCCCAGACATGCCCAGACATATTCTACCCTCTAGGTTTTTCTAGCTCTGTCTCATTGACAATGATAACCATGATGCTGGTTTAAAATGACCTATGTAGAACATAGCTTCAATATTGCAGTCTGAGTTCAAATCTTATTGTCAAACTAGAACCTAGGAATCAGACTGTCCACACATGACAGAATGATGGCCTCTGGTGTTAAACACTTCTCTCCAGCATATGAACATGTCCTACACCCCTAGGAGTAAGTTTTGTTTATTGCTGGCAAGCTTTGTCCTGGAATCTGTCAGATTACAATGCTTTATTTGCCCTGGACTGTCTCAGGATACAGGAAACAGGAAATACACAACTAGGTACAAACCTTTCGAGTATTTCTGTACCGTCTTTAGTCCAAAGCCTTATAACTAACCCCCGATTCCAAAGAATTCATCTTCTGGTGTCATGGTGAGAAGGACTGGTGTAATGGTTAATCATAACATGACAGAATTTAGAATCATGGAAATCTACCTGAGGGCAGTTCCAAAAAGCTTTAACTGAGCAGGAAGATGATGCACTCCCAAAGTGAATGGCACCATCTCATGGACTAGGTTCATGGACTCAATTTCTGAGCAACATTCATTTCTGTTTTAGTTATATGACCAGCTGCCTCCTTCTCCCCCTGCTGTGCTTTTGCCACAAAACCATGGCGAAGTGCACGCCATTGAACTCTGAGCCCAGTAAACCCCTTTCTCTCTTAAGTTGCTTCTTGAGATGTGTGATTACAGAAATTGCTACTGGAGTTACTAGGGTTCAAAGCTTGAGCCTTGACAGCACTAACCCGGGTTCGCTCAGTCTTCCTGGAAAAGGTAATTAAACAAGTAATACTGATGAGGACAAGGATAGGAGGAAATGGCTGACCCTTTAGGCACAGGGCTCCCCAAAGCAGAAGTTTCTGATTGACCTTGGTTCTCTGGCTAGGAATGCAAGAAGGGAAATCTGGTATCCTCTGCCTCTTAAATAAGCATCCTTGCCTGGAGGCTCTACCTGAGGGTGTGAGCAGAACTCCAGACACAAATCCCTTCTGGTGAACAGCTGTAGAATTTGTTCTCTAGATTTTCATGGTAAAGTGGTTTCGATCTAATCCTCAATTTTCAGTGCATCTCCTAAATGATATAGTTGCCTCTTCAGAGCATCATCAGGGCTCTTATTGAGGCTCATTAAGGAGAAGCTATTTCTTCTGGTCAAAAGAATGGGCCTAATCTCTGGCCTTGGCTACAGACCTAACATTCCAAACTGCCCAAACATAAATTAATCCAGCTGTGCTTGCCGATCACCTAGTTCAGACTACCACTTAGGAGGGCTAATTCATCTTAAGCCATACTGGAGAGATGGGAAGAATAATTAGGCTTTAGAGAGATACTGTACTTTTGCTTCCCAAAAACCCAGCCTCACTGCAGTCACTTGCACTCCCACCACAATGTGGCTGCTATTTGAATCACTCAATAAAGCATAACTTTCCTTTCTCTTCCTTTGTCTTTTGCATATTTTCATAAGTCCAGGCTGGGCATGCTTTTCAAGCACCATGACCTTTCTCTTTTTCTCTCTGAACTGACCCTCCCTCTTCCTCTTTGTGTCTGCTTATGAATGGTATGATTTTTTCTTCCTCTTCTCTTTTTGAATTTACAGTTTGCATGCTCTAGGGTTTTCCTTTTAAGTAATAAAATTGTCCTTAATTTTCCTTATGAGTCCCTTAAATTATTAATGAGACTAAGAACCCTGAGAGAGACCCTAATTTCCCTGATAATGTGGCACCCATATTGAAAAGCAGAATCAGTCAATTTTGGTTGTGTTGGAGAGAACAGAGGCCCAGTTCATCCCCCGAAGTTCATCTTTGGGGTATTAATATGGGGTGGAAGTTTAGAGAGCCATAGGTATAGCTAAGCAATCCCTGTCAAGTTGTGCCTATCCACCACTATCTCAGCTCCAGTCCCTCCTGCAATGTCTGTCACCTGACAAGTTACAAATCTTCCTGGGACAAACTTTCCCCTCTGATGGTCCCCAGGGCCTCAGCCTTTTAGTCCTGTCAACATGAGAGTCTTGGATAAATTCCAGCTTCTTGGAGTCCATTGCTTCAATAGTCTGATAGCCAAAATGAAGGGCATAAGCATCTCTTTAAAATGTGTTCATTCCAGTACTGGGTATTTAGCTCAGTGGATAGACTACTTGCCTAGCATGTAGAAGCCCTGTGCTCGGTCCCCAACATCAAACAACTGGGTGTGGTGGCTCACTGCTATAATCCCAGCACTATGGAGTTCTAAATCTTTCTTGGCTACAAATTAAGTCGAAGGCCAGCCTGGGCTACAGGAAACCCTGCCTTAAAAAGTCCCAAGTCCCTGAAACATTTAAGTCTTGCCGGGATGGTCAAATGATGAGAAAAGCAATATAGAAAATTGGTACCCAGAAATAAGCCATTGCCAAAAAACCTGACCATGGATTTAATAGGCCTTTGGAATGCATTTGTATAAAGAATGTGGAAGAGCTTGGAGCAGGAGGGTAGAGAAGCTCTGGAGTACTATAAGGAAAGCTTAGTGGGTTGTTCTGAATGAAGCTTGGAGGACCAGGAAGCAAAGAGAAATGCACACACCTGAGGCCCTGTGTCATCCAGTTGTAGAGGTGAAAAGGATGCTGTCGGGAACTAGGGGAAGAGACCATGCTATGTTTTGGCAAGGAATCTGGATGCTTTCTCTTCGTGGCATGAGAACATGAGAGAGACTGAATTCAAAAGTGTTGGACTAAAATTTGTTTGACCAGGGAAATTTTAAGACAGGATAGCCTTTAGGCTGTTATATGGTTTACTAATCACGGCTTTGATCCAGCTGTACAGCTGGAGGAACAGGCGGAAGAAAAAGATCTAAAATATGTGCTGTTTGGGGACTCTACCATAAGGTACTTCAACAAAACTATTTCTAAGTTCTCTTTTAGAAAAAATAAGCCTAGAGGTTCTATGTGAAAGCAAGTTCAGCCATTTTTATCTTCACAAAGACTTTATAATGTTTGCCCCAGCCTTCTTTGGGATTCCCAGTGTCTTTTTTTGTTTTTGTTTTTTGTTTTTGTTTTTATTTTTGCTTGTTTTTACAAAAGTTTTATTATGATGTACAAAAGACTCCAAGACAACACTTCACTCTTGCTATATGGGGCAAAAGATGTAATGGCAGGGAACATTTACATGGAAATGGAACAAAGGGCCTCTATCATCTCAGGCACAAGGAACAGCTTACTTTTTGCCAAAGTTTTTAATTCCACCTGTTGTCAGAGGGACCGCTCTCTGTGGCCTTTGCTTTTAGCTCCTTGAGTTTTTTCTGCTCTCCTTTGTGTATCTTCCTCAACCATCTTCTTGGCCTGGTTCCAGCTGCTTATGCCACTGTCATGACCAGACATGTGCCTGCCACCCCTTCCCCTGATTATTATTAGCCCCTTTCTGAACAGGACTGTTCTTCTGACATGCCAGGCAGAAAACAGCCACAATTTACCATTCCAGTTGAACCACAAGCACGCCTCAGAGCAGTGGCAGTTGCCCTTGGGGCTCCCTAGGAACAGCTATGGTATGAGGAGGTTCAGAGGCCTACGAAAACCTTCAAGGTTCAGAGTTCCAGGAACTTGGTCTTTGCTCAGGTCACACCCAAGGCAGAGAAGCTTTCTTTTCACACTAACAGTGGTGGCGCACACCTTCAATTCCAGCACTTGAGAGGCAGAGGCAGGAGGATCTCTGTGAGTTCAATGCCAGCCTGGTCAACATAATGAGTTCCAGGAGAGCTGGGGCTACAAGGGAGACCCTGTCTCAAAAAGACATATATATCAGAAATGGAATGATAGCTTAGTGGTAAAACAGCTATGACCTAGCAGGAATTCTCCATCTATGTGCAACTCAGGAAGGACCAATGCTGCTTTGTACCAGTGTGGCCTTACCAGTTACTACAATGTTGAAACCCTTCCATACTGGAAAGATGTCACTGCCTTGGACCTCAAAGAATCTCCAAAATGCCCTGGCCTGTCCTCAGGACTTCTGTGTCTCCCAGCACAGCACACAGCCTTAGGAACATATTAGAATGATGGCAAGCATCTGTTTTTTGTTTGTTTTGTTCTTGTTTTTTTAAAAATATTTATTATTTTTATTATATGTGTATGAATGTATTGCCTGCATGTATGTAAGTGCACCTGTGTCATGCAATACCTGTGGAGGTCAGAAGAGGATGTCAGATCCCCTGGAGCTGGAATTACAGACAGTTGTTAGTTGCTATTTGGGACTCGAACCCAGATCCTCTGTAAGAAAAGCCGGAGCTCTTAACAGCTGAGCCATATCTCCAGCCCATTTCTTGTTTTTGTTAAGACAGGGTCTTCCTGTAGCCCAGCTGTCCTGGAACTTGCTATGTACACCAGGCTGACCTTGATCTCATGGAGATCTGCCTGCCTTTGCCTCCCGAATGCTGTGACTAAAGGCATATGCCACAATCTGTTCTGATTCTTTGATGCCCCTTCAATATCGTGTTCAATATCCTCAGCATTCTTTATGGGGCCATGCATAACGAGGGCTCTAGATTCAGATCCAGTCCTGCCTTCAGCAGTGGCTCTAACTCCAGGTCTTGTCATAACTCTGTCACTGACACCAGCCCTGGATCCAGCTCTAAAGACTCCAGTTCTGGCTCCACTTTAAGCTCTGAGGATTGCTGCAGTTCATCCACTGGTATAGGTGCACCAAGACAGACAACAGGGCAGGACTCAGCGGGCAAGGTGAGGTGAGGATGGCAGAGCAAAGCAGAGGCTCTGTCTCTAGTCTAAGACAGTAGGGCTCCTCCACCTCCTGAGGGCTGTAATTACAGGCATGGCCACCACACCTACCCTTGGAATCAGGCATGTTAAAAGTTTGGATCCCATAATTTCCTAGCTGGGTGAGCCTTAGATTATCATTTTTTTCTTTTATGGTGTTTTTGAGACAGGGCCTCCCTATAGCCCCAGTTAGCCTGGAACTGGTTATGTAGACCAGGCTGGACTTCGGGATTCCTAATGTCTTAAAGAAGACACGCTTGTCTAGAGCAATGATAGAAAGTGACAGAAATTTGTTCTTCCCTCTCAGACTAGGTATGTCCATCCTTTTGAGTCTGTAGATGACAATGTCAAGTCTCAAAGTTCCCACTCAAATTGTCAAGTTGCCAAAGCATAAACAAATCAACCCCCCCCCAAGCGCACAGTGTTTCAGACAAGATTGATTTTTGTTTGTCCATATTCATAGCTACACTAGGAAGCATGTAGTCTGTGGATTCCATATAGCTGATCCTGATGCCACAAGAAAAACAGACCGCATTCTCTCAGGGAAGTCGATCGATGTCCTCTGTGATGTTTGAAGGATGGAACATGTGATCTGCAACATTTGCAGGACTGTTAAACTTCCTTATGCCCTAATGGAGTTAGGATTTTCGTTTCAGAACAAAGCTGTCTGACAAGAAATACTTGCAGAAAACAGGTGGGCTGAGATCTTTCACCTGAAGGTTCATCTTAGCCTGTCAGGTCCTTGGCAGACTCATTTGAAAGCACTGTTTTGATTAAGGATTGGGCATTGTTTTGTGGATGGGATCAAGGAAGCTCCGTCTGGTTTGATAGGTGGCATTACCTGCAGTAGCCGCTCAAGCACTATAAAGCTTCCTTGGCCTTATGGAGATTCTGTCTCAGAAGCGACAGGCTCCTTAAGAACACTCTATGTGTGGTGTCTGGTAGGTCGACCACGCCCATGAAGTGCATGGGCAGCACAAATTGGACTAAGTGGGCTAAAAAGAACTTGAGAGTGGGATGGATCTGGGCGGGTTAGGGGAGTGATCAAAATTGTGTACATATATGAAATTCCCCAAATTAATGCCTTTTTTTTTAACAAAAAATGTTTATTTTAAAAAAGAAAAAGGAAAGTGCCGACTAAGTACAAACCCTGCATATAGCAGCCACTGCTCACTGCTGAAGCCAGCCACAGGGTTGCACAGAGATGGAGAATTCCTGCTAGGCCATAGCTGTTTTACTACTAAGCTATCATTCCATCTTTTGTATAATATATTATTAGCATGAAAAGACAGCTTCTCTTCCTTGGGTGTGACCTGGGCAAAGACCAAGTTCCTGGAACTCTGAACCTTGAAGGTTTTTCATAGGCCTCTAAACCTCCTCATACTGTAGCTATTCCTAGGGCGCCCCAAGGGCTGTAATGGCTAATCATCTTAAATTGATGGATTTAGAATCAGCATGGAAACATACCTGAGGGTGTTTCCCCTGAGCAGGAAGATGGCCCACTCCAAATGTGGGTGGCACCATCTCATGGACTAAGTTCATAGACTCAGTGAAAAAGAGAAATCAAACTGAGCATGAACATTCATTTCTCTGCTTTTTTTTTTTGTTACAATGAGACCAGCGCCTTCTCCCTCTGCCATTCCCCACCAGACCATAGACAAAGTGATTTCCATTACAGTGTTAATCAAATAAACTCCTTTCTGACAAAAGTTGCTTCTTCAGAGGTGTTTGAACCTGAAGAGGAATAGAGTAGGAATGAAAGTGTTATATAAACCAGTCTAACTGCTTC